TCTGAATGGATGTAGTCCTAGGTTATCTCAAAATGAATATACGCCTATTTGTGCGACTGCATAGTGAAGTGAAACTTATCTGTAAAACGAATACTGCTTTATATTTGCCACTAGACCTGCCCTTGGCATCATTAAAGTGAGTTTCTTTGTGACATGCTATGAACGGACTGCATGTCATTGTGCAACTGACGTATAAAACAACTTTATGTAGTTTGTTCCTAACCGTTGTTCAATGATATAGTGCCAAGTTGAGGCTGTAAAATATTACTCACTCTCGAAGCTCTACGACTTCGGCCAAATCGACAGTTGGCAATCAGTCTACATAAGTTGTGTATTGTGGTATGTTTTGTATATGTGTCCAAGTAACTATATAATTGGCTTGGAAGCAGTTACTCGTTCTACTAACGTGTGAGACAGTGTCAGCGAATTCGCACCAGCCTGCTGTGATAGGTGGCTTCCTTTCCACATGAGTGAAATTCAACATTGAGGTCTATCCATAGTTTATGAATAATCTGAAGCATTTTAAACTCTGTAATTCGCTTCTAAGTGACAACTAAGATAAGAATGTCTGAGACCACTATATAAACATTGCATAGGCGAAATGACAAGTCATTTATACTTCGTATTCCAGGACTAATCATCAGATGCTTTATTTGCATAACACTAAACCGATTTTATAATAGTGATTTTGCCATGTTATAATATGATTAATCCCGAGTGTTCGTTAATTGCTTTGTGTGTTGTGCAATATATATATGTTTAAATATGTATATGAAAATAAAAAACCTTCGTAAATCATGACGTTTTGACTATTTTACAATATCGTAAGTATTTAATAAATATAAACATGTTTACTTTGATTTTACAGTCTTATTGGTTACATGACAATTAGAGTTTAAACTTGACTTCAGGGTTTAAACTGATTTAGTACGTTTAAATGGCTTATATGTAATTACGTCTCTTTTTATTATCACTTACATTTTTTCATATTAGAATAAAGTTTGAAAAATGATTCAAAGAAGAAGCATTTCTAAGGTAATGGAAAGAACTGCGAGCTTAAAGAGTTATACCTGAAACAATTCATTTATTACTTTATTGTTAATCATGCATGTTATATTGTAATATCTAATTATATACATATTTTCCCACATGATGACGAAAGAAACGAAGATCAACAAAAGTGATAAAAGGAATTACTATAATACACCATATAACTTACCAAGATAGCTTTACGGTCAATGTTAAAAGAGTTGGGCATCAACTTACGTATAGGTCCAAACTATTTAAACTATCCAATGAAATATTATCTCGGAGTTATGAGGACAGAGCTCATATGCACACAAATTTACTTTGAAGTCGTAGCATAGGTAAGTAAGTGTCAGATTGGAGGTAATAAGACAGAGACGTGTGTTTAGCTCTATACTGTATAGTATAGATAGGTAATTCACAGTTTGGTAGTAATAAGAGATATGTGTTTACTTTTACACTGTACGAATATGTAATGGTTTATATATGTTACTCGAAACCTTTGTGTTAGTAATGACGTTTTATCCTTTTATGAATTATCTATATAAAATCTGAACGTTATAGTACAACAGTTATTGGTACAAGAACACTATCTCGTCGACTTAAAGAAGATCTATCTTTTTCTTTATTATCGTTTTGTATTTCCAGTAGTGAATTACATATGTAGAAGGTGTTTAATGTACGTATGTATACACGTGAATTACATATGTATAAGGTGTTTAATGTACTTATGTATACACACACACACGCACACATATATATATATTGATAGTAGACTTACTTTCTCTTCTTGCGTTTATGTTCATTATTATGGTTGTTTTCACTGCTCTTCTGTACCCCAATTTTTATCAAAAAACGACTTCCTTGCTTATTCATCAGAAAAGATTGTGAAAAACAGTTTGATTAATTTTATTCATATTTTAGATTTTATTTGGGGATCAAAATTAGAACTCATAGGAACACACACACCAAGTTCTCAATGTTTAATTATCTATTCCTATCTTCCTAAGTATGCGCAGTTTTTCTTATCTTCCACATGTATTTGGACAGTTTTATTTTCTCTATTTTTAAACTGATATGTTTGTATGTTTATGTTTTCCATCAAATAAAGTAATATATGTTGTTGTGTAGTAGCATATACTTGTATTTATTATTTCAGAAGCCATTCTCAATAGTCTGTTTATCTAGTATGCCGTTCAAACGCTACAGTGCATTTTTGTTACAACGTACCAAAGCTAGTTTCAGCATCTCTAATGTACAGAAGTTAATTGTTCCTGTACATGAGCCAATTACACGGGGATTCTGTAAATTGTACCTTAGTGGTGATTTTAAGATATCTGCATGTAAGTAATAATTGTTTGTTATCGTAGAATTCCTTCTCGATTGTCAATTAAAATGAGTTTCGTGTTATTTTTTGTTAATATTGTAATTTTTATTCCTCAAAAACTCTTTTACACATCTTCTGCTAAATTATCTTATGAGGCATTTCACGGCTCGTTTGTTTTTTAATTCAACATAGAAAAATATCTTAGTAAATTTATTGTAATGTTTGGGGGAAATACTTCTAACTTATTGGTGGAGTATTTTTTGTTTTACTTTCAGTTCGGTTCCAAACATTTCAAAGCGTTAATATTTTTTTGGCATAGAAAAGCCGTTATCATTGCAACGTTCTACTTTTCTTGGGAAAAACATAACACAGCAGCTAATTTTCGAGTAATATTGAACATTCACTACAGTGCCGTTAGTGAAATGTGGCAACGGATTTATGTACATGAGTTAGATCATACTTAATAACTCATAAAATACATTAGCGAGTTGTGCGACACATAAAAGCAAGCTTTACAAAATTTGTCAAATAACTAGATCAAAGTGTACTTTATTTAATATTTACATTTTCATCAAAAATGAAATCCTCGTTATTTTTCATACAAGTGAAACTTAATATTATTTGTTTAGGGTTCTTTGTTCTCCTGAAGAAGAATAGTCAATTATTCGAAAGCGCTCGAGTTTTGGGTCTTATTTTAAGTCTATTTGTTTAGGGTAGATATTAAAATTTTATAACTTGGAGATCAATATCTCTAGTTTGGTATAAGCAGTCTTTTAAAATTAAAATGTATACCAATGAATTGAAAAATATAGGAAGTCTTTGGAAAGAGTGACAAAAACAGTAACTTTGTTATGAAATTACTCTTTAGATTTGAGAGGGTTAAGAACTTGAATTTTTACGTACAAAATCTCCTATTTTCTCTATAAAACCTTCTTTGGTGTGTTATTTCTGATTATTACATTATTTACATTGACTTCTGCCAATGTAGGGACTATCTAGGATAACCACTGAGAAAGTTTTGTTTTTCGGAAATGTTTGATTCAGAAGTTTAGACGCTCAGTAATGCGGACGAGAGATCATTATCTAAATTTCTTATATTCACTGTTTCGTGAGTTTTGATAATAGTAACTTCTGGTAATTTGAGGAAATAAAAGAGCTGCAAAAATGTGGATTTTTATAAATATCCCGATATCCGCCACTGCTCTGTATAACATATTTTAAATATTGACTGTATTACCGTAATATCTGGAGTTCATTGTTCTTTTATAAATTATATGCATGCCGTAAACAGCATTATTAAATGTTTTACAGTGGTATCTAACCATGCAAACCATCCAACTACCTATAAAACGTCTTTAAAAATAACAGAAATTATTCATTTTTGCTTGTTATTGTAACACATCATTCGTTTACTATTTACAACCACGTGAGCAGTAAGAAACCTATGAACTTAAATGCATTCATACTTTTTGAAACATGTTGACTTTTATAAGTACTTAATAGCTCAAATTCGCAATGCTTTGTTTTCCAGCAATTTAAAAAATGGCTTTGTTTACGAAAGCTAATACATAAAAACCCTCCATTAAGTGTTATAACGTCACAAGAAAAGCACGAGAAGCAAGCTTGACAGTCTATCTTCAAGATACTTTTATATACTGAGCTTTCAGTAGGAATTTTTGTGGTTTTAACGGATAACTCGCAGAAATTATGATTTATTGGCCATATGCAAACAATATGTTGTAACAACTCCTTGTACTTATACCTACCATAAATCAACATAACAGCTAAATTCCCTTCTACCATTAACTCAGTTGTATTGTTTGTCAAAAATTAATCAACATTTCTATTTGGACTTTTTTGTATATATATCTTGCATTCCGTAACGTAACTGACACGAGATCTCATTGTCTGCATTTATTTCACTCTGTCTTATCATTATCCTGCTCCAGATTACTGTGCGTAAGAACTGTACTTTTACGAGTATGGTCCTTGCTTTTGCTAGTTACATATAACAATATATTAATTTTAAAGTATGTGGATCCTAGTATCTACCAGCTGTTAGAAATGTACTCTTTATAGGAAAACGACGAATAATTTATAATTAGAAATATGATCAATGTGATTTAATTCTGACCAATTATTGTATTTCATCATTTACTTACATAATGTTTCTGAGTATAAAAGAAAATTGACACAAAAGCGTATTGACGGTAATTTCTTGCTGATCTTTTTTTGTCACGGATAGGAAGCTTAAACTTCAATATATTCTAACCAAACTACCAAAAAATGATAATAAGAAATAAAATAAAAATACATCAATTTGTACCCACTAGAGAGGAGTACAAGGGTAGAGTAATAAATTATCCATTCTTTTTGATAGTTTAGAACATGTAATCTGATATGATGCACAAACCTCTCTTGATCCTTTTGTATAAACATTTCTCCAGAAAATGTCATGTAAAACTTTACAAGATATAAAAAAGTGAAAGGAAGGAAGTATTGGCTGTTGATAAATAATATAAAGGTGTTACACTACATATAGAAACACCTTTTCATGGAAGTATGAAAAAACAATCCAATATCATAGAAAGAAACATCTGTTTTTGCTTCATTGATACAAACTGGTGTACGCTCTTTCCTATTCCAGATCTTTCTACACAAATCTGCCATGCAGCAACACTCCAGAGAGACCCACAGAGGAGAGATCAAGCCACATCAATGCCATCAGTGTTTGAAATCCTTTTCCTCCAATCATCAGCTGACCCAGCACATCCGGGTACACACCGGGGAGAAACCTTACAAATGTTCATATTGTGACCGAAGGTTCAAACAGCTGTCCCATGTCCAGCAACACACAAGACTTCACACTGGTAAACAACTTTTACTTATCTATCTTTCGAAATAAAATTGTCTCTTTTTACTCGCGGCTATTGAGGATTCCCTCTTGTTGTTTTCAAGCCAAACAATACCGAAGATAATGTTTTAAGCATATTCTTTTCACTGTAGTGTCTTAAAGGAGACACAGAAATGCTGATATAAATTAATTATTGTATATTAAAAAAGCCAGAACTTAATTATGGGTTAAGGTAACATCCAAACACTGAAGTTTAAGCTTCCTATCCCTGATAAAAAGTGGAGCTTATGTCCCGTTTTGCTCATTAAAGTGCACAATATTCCTACCAAAGTTCAATTTTGATGTTATTTTAGTCCAGCGTGAAACATATGTGAGTTTTCATAAAATATAGCCTCCTAATTTAACTATTTATCTTAATTATTTATTAAATTTATTTAGATTTTGCTATTCTTTGTGTGTGTGTGTGTGCTCCTCAGTGGCTCAGCGGTGAGTCTGTCGGCTTATAACACTAAAATACTCGTTGTGGGCACTACACAGATAGCTCATTGTGAAGCTCTTTGCATTACAAAAAACAAGCAAAAACCTTTTTATATATTAACTGGTTTGTCATATAGCCTTATTCATATAACCATATAGAAAACGTTATTTTGATACATCTTCCTATCTATAACCGAGAGTAACTTAAACTTCAGAAATTCGAGTACATTGCAAGACAGGCGCCTGGCAATATCCACTTTAATCAAACTCTCACATCATCCCTAAACAACCAAGCAAGGATCAACGTCATAGCAGTTCCTCTAGAGATTTTAGTATTAATATACACATTTGAATAATCTTAAAAACCTATTGTTTCGTAGTCTATATTCTAAGAATTTGTAAAGTGAGACTTGAATTAGTCTAGTGCTTGTTATGGTACCTCCAGTTGCAATAACAGAACTTCTTAACAGCTAACTATATGACTCTTATGAATTATGGAATGATAAAAGAAACAAAATTTGACTTGAATTCACAAGTTCAGCACTTAAAACACCTACCAAATATAAACTCTACAGCGTAAAAAGTAATTATCGGTCATGAGATATAGCAGACATATAATAATAAATGTGGCTTTTAATTTTAGCGTAATTGTTCCAGGATACATTTCTACAACGTGTGCAAACCTGTTGGATAGATCATGGTGCCTATGAATATTCGTTAAAAGATCTCTACTACATGCATATATTAAATGTAGTTTGTATTTGTTCAGGGCAAATCATGAAAGGATTTGTGTATAAAAACTGTTTACAGATACTTAATATACACACCTACAAGCATATTCATATATATATATATATATATATGAGTGTTTATTATGGACCGTTCAGAACAATTCATAAAAGAACATGTATATAAAAACTGTTTAAAGGTACTTATTGTATACATCCACATAAATATCCATATATATATATGTGTGTGCGTGTTTATTATTAACAGTTCAAAACAAGATAAAGAGCTCCATATAGTCCCACCCATATATTTTTACATTAGAAGTGAAAATGTCGGTAGCTTTTACATCTGACATATATATATACAGTTATTACTGTGGAACAGCCAAACTGCCAAGACAAAAGTGAACATGGTCAACTTTTTCTCTTCTTTCTTTACTCTAGTGGTTACAAGTTACTGTCAGGCAACCAGAGATAAGAAACTTATCTGATGCTTACCAGTCACTGTCAGAAAACCAGAAATATGGAAGTTTTTCTGGTGTTTTATAGTAACTATCATGTAACCAATGTATAGAAGCTACTCTGGTGCTTTCTAGATAATTATCAGGTAATTAGAAATATGGAACTTATTCTGGTGCTTACCTGGTAACTATCAGATAACCAGAAATACGGAACTTACTATGTTACTTTCAAGTTAATTTTCAGGAAATTAGAAATATGGAACTGACTCTGGTTCTTACTAATTAACTATCAGACAACAAGAGATATGGAACTTACTCTGGTGTTTTATAATTAATTATAAGGTAAATAAAATTATCGAATTAATTCTAGTGCTCAATAGTTAAATATCAGATAACCGATGATATGAAACCTACTCTGTTGCTTTCTTCTTAAGTATCAGTAAATTAGAAACATGGAACTTATTCTGGAGCACACCAGTTAACTTTCAGATAACCAGATATATCGAATTTAATCTGGTACTCTTTAATTAATTAATAATTTATTTAGACCGTTAAATACATAGATATCAGATAATTAGAAATATGAAACCTACTGTGGACCTAACAACTGTCAAACGACTACAGATATGGAATTTACTCTGGTGCTTTCTAATTAATTATCAGATAACCAAAGACATGGAACTTACTATATTGTTTACCAGTCATTGTAAGACTACCAGAGATATGGAAGTTTTTCTGGTGCGTACCAGTCATTGTCAGATTATCCTGGTGCTGTATAGATAGTCATCAGGTAATTAGAAATATAAAACTTAAGTATCAGATAACCAGCGATATTGGACGTATTTTGACTCTTTCTAGTTACTTATCAGGAAATTAGAAATATGGTTCTTATTCTAGTGCTTACTAGTTAACTATCAGATAACCACTGATAAGAAACTTACTCTGGTGGTTTCCAATTGATTATCAGGTAATTAAAAACATAAACTTTATTGTAGTGCTTTCCAGTCACTGTCAGATAACTAGAGATATGAAACTTACTACTAGTTATTTATCAGATAATTAGAAATATGGAATTGTTTGGCTCTTTTCATTTATCTACCAGATAAACAGCGTTATAGGTCATAATCTCTTGCTTTCTAGTTAATTATCAGTTAATTAGAAATATGGAAATTCATCTGGTATTTACTAGTTACTATCAAACAACTAGATATATGTAACTTACTATGGTGCTTTCTAATTAATTATCAGATATCCAGAGATGTGGAACATATTTTAATGCTTACTAGTTAACTACTAGATAATCAGGGATGGGAAATTACTCTGGTGGTTTCCAATTGATTATCAGGTAATTAGAAATATTGACCTTATTTTAATGCTTACGAATTAACTATCAAATAACTTATTTTAGTGACTACAATGTAACTACGAGATAACCAGGGATATGGAAATTACTCTCGTGCTTTCTAATTAATTATCAGTGTTACGTATTAGAATTTCGAATAGTGCGAAGCCGAGTTAACTGATAATGTAAATTTAGTAGTTAAATTGTACTTTGGATTTAGTATTTAAATACATGCCAATATATAGTCAGTTTATGATTGATACACACCGTTTTCGTTTATAACACAAATACGTTTTAATATACACACAACAGTA